TGAGGTTCATCAAAAAATAATGAATAATTTAAATTAAAAGAAAACCTGGAGTGATTGCTTGTTCTCTGATAACAAAATGGGAAATAAATGACTGTCAACATTTGGAACACAATGTTTTAAAGAGCAAGCGGAGGTTTTAACTAGTCTGTGAGCTCTCCCATATTCTCAGGCAGTGCTTGATGATGGGACTGTCACTTACACTCTGGAATTAAGGATGCTTTCAGCTTGGTGTTCAACCTCACTGTAAAGGATGAGGAGGAAAAAGAAAAAAAAGTGGATATTTATGCAGATCCCAGCCAGTGCTTGGGCTTCAATGTGAAATTAATACCTTTGATCTTGACAGGAATTCTCAAGGGAGCAAACAGAGCTGTGTGGGCTGTAGGAAAGGCCAGGGACAGACAGAAAACCAATATATTAATTCTATTTACTGAGAAAACCCTCCTGGTGCTCTGTGGTTGTTGCTGTTCTCATGGAGACCCTTGGATGTGGCAGCTCCCTCAGCTCAGCATGGCACTGGAACCCCAGACTGTCACCTGGGCAGCATCCCAGGGATCTGTGAAATGGAACTGCACACAAACCTGTGAGATGGAATTTAGAATGCTGCCAAAAGAGAAGGGGGGATGTGTGTGCTGCTTTACCCACACGAGGGAAGCTGCACATCAGCCCCTGGGCTGTAAAATGAACCTTCTCAGGTGTCAACAGAATATGTTTTCATTTTTTAAAAAGCCCTGCCTATCTTTTGGGAGGATCAGGCTGAAAAGAGCTGCCTGATTTTCCTATGTTGCCCAGACATGGAACAATTTTACACAATTTTTTTTTTTTTTTTACACAACTACAAAAAATTGTTGAGTTAATTCAGCTGTTTGTCATGCAGGACGTGCCAGTTAAAGTCAGAGTGTCCTGGGAGATGCTTCCTGCATCCACAGAAAGATTTCACATCAGCTGCACTGTAGCTTGTTCAAAATATATCCAGAGAGCACAGAAAGCAAAGGGAAAGTACAAAGTTAGAGAAACCCCTGGACTCTGAGATATTCCTTCAGGTGAACACCTGAAGGAATTGGTTTTTATTCCACCTGAAGGAACTGCTTTTTTACTGAAGGAACTGCTTTTTATTCCATGGTTTTTTTTTCCCCAAAAGAAACAACAATTCCATTAATTGTTTTTTATTCCACCTGAAGGAACTGCTTTTTATTCCATGATTTTGGGTTTTTTTCCAAAAGAAACAACAATTCCATTAAGTGTTTTTTATTCCACCTGACGATATTGCTTTTTATTCCGTGCCTGATGGAAATAATCACCATCAACACATCCCAGGTTGTCCCTGAGGTCTCTGCTTTGCTAAGGCACTGAACTCATCTCAGGACAGTTATGCAATATTTTGTTTTGTCCCTCTCAGCCCTTGCTTGGCCCTCTAAATTCAGTGCACAAGGCCTGATCATCACAAAAAAACTGGTTCAGCCTTGCAAAGTGACTTATTTCAGCACCGGCCATGTGCTTCAGATACCTCATTTATTTTATTTTCAGTGTATGGCATGACCCCATCTTACTGACAGAAAGACATTTATACTGAGACTAAAACGAGGGACCGTCACTCTTCTGGGGATTTTCAATTTGGTTTGTTAAACTCTGGGGTTTTTTAGTTGTTCAAGAAGTGACTTTAATTCACTTTATCTGCAGCAGTAACTTTCTCCTTTGCTTTGGACACCCATTGGGGGACAGCCAAGTCAAGGAACATGTGAGAAAAGGTTGCTTGAAGTGATTTATGGACATAACATCCCATAGAAACTTTATGGCAGGGACATGAAAAGATCCTAATTCTCCAGAGCAGGGCTCTGTTGTCTGCACTACAGCACATTCCCCTTCTTTCTTCCTTATCCTGCTTTCATTGCATGAGCTACAAAGGAGGCAGGGCATCCTCCAGACAGCAGCATCCTGTGTTTGGCCAGATCAATTCATCTCCCTGGGCAGAGAAAACACCCATGGAAATGGAGACTGTGTCCTAGAGCTGCCACAAGAAGGGCAAACTGAGGTTACCCAGACAGACTTAAAACGGGGGCGTTGCCAGACTTGAGAGCAGGATGTTGCAGAGCAGCACTTTCCATTTTTAGTAGAAAATGCTCCTGTTTGTTGTTTTGTAAGGTTCTGTCCTTTGAAGTTGCAATTTTTCAAATATTAGGGTTAGTTAACAAAGTTTTTGAGCTTTAATTTTGATCTTGTTTCGGCATGGAAACTTTTAATATGAGATGAATAAAGCTAAAAATGTCTATTTGCATTCTTTAAGGTAGGAGCTGATAGAAACTAGAAAACAGTTCCAATGCCAAGTTTGTGAGTGCTAAATTGAATTTATTATCACTGACTTAAGGGTTTTCAAGGCCCAAAGTTCATGAAGCACCCACAGGGTGTTCTCTGGTGTTCTCAGGTCCTTTCCTCATGGCAGAGAAGTACTGAGCTGTGTCACCTTCCAGACCAATGTCCTCTTTGGTCCCAGCTGCTGCTCCAGCTCCTCCTCTGTGGCCCTGCCCTTCAGAATGTCATTGCTCTGCATGGAAAGGGGAACAACTTCTGCTTTAAGGCAGACTCAGCACTCTCAGAAATATCCCATAATGGTTTTGCGACTGAGAGCCGGGTGGCTGGCACCTGAATGGCAGGCACCTGGATTTGGGATTGGTGTCTACAGGAGCCCACCACGTTGGAATGAGAACAACTTCCCCTGAGGTGCCCTTTGGGAATGAGCAAACTGGGGTGACACAGACTAATGAACTATCAGGCTAATCAACAATTTGAGGCCTCACCAAATCCTCCTGCCACGAACTGAGCGCTGCAGCCTGAGGCTGAATGTCAGATGGCCCCTGGCTGCTGGGGAAGGAGATGGAGAACTGGTCTGAAATGCCACCTTCAGGGCTTGAAATGTTGGTGTATCTGGCAGTTAACACCAGGGTTACTCCTGCTCTTGTGTTTTTCAGCCACAGAAAATCTACCTGTGGTTTCTAAATTTATGTTTCTGTTTGCCTCTTTGCTGATCACTTCTTGCTATTTTAGAAACCTGAACGGATTAAACATCACTTGTTCTCTGAGCATACAACCCAAAGGAAGCTATACAGATTGTATTCTTCCATTCATCAAATAAAATTGCTTCTCCATTCCTCTTTAAACATCAGTCCTAAGTTCTGAGGAATTTCTAGACTGATGTCATAGAGTGCAACAAAACCTCTCTTCAGTCTGATTCCAGTTTTTGAGAATATGTGACTGTTTCCTTGCAGAAGAGGTTTCTCAGAGGGTTTGCCACTTTTTAGGCTGACTCCCTGTGGGATGTGACAGTCTTTGTTTCCTTTGAAGGACATAGCATCCCTCGTGATGAGTGACGCTCAGAGAGCAATGCCAGAGTTTGATCTGCTTTTCTGTGTGGCACAGGGGGTCCAGAGGGATGTGCTCTCTGCTCCTGTGCTCCAGCAGCTCTGGAGCTGCTCCCTTCCAGCACAGCTCTCCTTTGGGCCCAGGTCCAGCAGGGACAATCAGCCCTGTGGGGCTGTGCCAGCACAAGGGGCTGCTGCTCCTCTCAGTGCCCTGCCCTGCAGCTGTGCGACGGCAGGGAGGGAAGGGAAGGATCCCTGAGCTGATCCAGTTTCCCAGCTTTTGTCTGGGCCCCAGCAGACATTTTCAGGATTATTTTCAGCTGGCCCACGCTCCTCACAGTTTTTTGGGAGCTTCCAGTCTTGTTAAAGAGCCTGTCTGTCAAAAGCCTCTCTGTGTGCAGCTTTTCCTGGTGAGGCTCTGGGATGTAACCAGCTGTGTCTTATTCAGGGTGACAGCAACGAAACCCTTTAAGCGTCTGATGTAAATCAAATGTGATCTTAATGTTATTTCTAAACAGAAACACTCAACAGCTTCAGAGAGCAAGGTCTCACTTGATCAGCTGTAAAACAAACAGATCCCCTTAGTGTGTTTAGGAGGATTTGATGGCTGTTATTGGTACTGAAATCATTGCTGTGCTCCCTCTTCCCTGGCTCCAACTTCAGCAGGGAATGGCTGCACAGCCACTGCCTCTGATCATCACTCAGGGTTTGGTGTTTTGGTTGTTCTGCTTTAACTCAGAGATCATTTATCCCAGGAAAACAGGAGCAGGATTTTATTGGATGGCAGCTCTGTGGGTTTGGGTTCTCCATATCCAGGACTTCAAGGGGTACCTTCAGCTCCAGTGGGAACACACCCACACTGGTCAAGTGAAATAAATGGCTTTGCTGCAATAATTTTAAAGTAAAATGAACCTGCTCATTAGTTTTCTGAGGTTGTTCTGAGGAGAAGAATCTCACTGTGTCAACTCACGCTTCCTTTTCTCTGATTTAAAATTGTTTGCATTACTTTAGGATACAAATGTTCCCACAATGGCATTACAAAGCTACTGACTTGTTAAGCTCTACAGAACTTTTATTTGTTGATTGTACAGTGACCAGAACTGTAACTTTGTGCCTGTTGGATCCATTAAATTTTGCTGAAAACATCCTTTCCCTGGATAAGTTATCCCTTCTTTCCCCAGCTTAATTTATGTATTATCTAGGAATAGCACATTTTGTCTTTAGAGCATTTATTCAGGCCACATTTTTAAATTTGAATAAATAACTGTCCAACGGGAGTGAGATAAATGCAGGTGATTCTATTTAGGCTGCAATTACTAAAACTGTCTAAGAGCAATTAATGAATTTAATGGGTGAGGTTCTTCTCTAGGAATTCCATCTCCCTTTCCATTCTAGGAACGGAAATTCTGACTCCCTTCTCATTCTAGGAATTCTGTCTCCCTTTAGGCTGAGCCTGTAAAGACCAGCTGGGATGGGGAGGGGAATTTCCCTCTCAGCACATTATTTTTTTTAAGGTTATGATTTGTAAAAGCTTTGCCAGACCCTCCTAACCTGCAGAGCCATCTGTGCAGGTCTGCAGCCCGTGTTTGGCAGGAAGGTGATTTCTCCTGGCTGCTCTCTGAAGCTCTCCCTGCTCTCTGTCTCCAGGTGTGGGTGGATGCTGGCACACAGATCTTTTTCTCCTACGCCATCTGCTTGGGGTGCCTGACAGCCCTGGGGAGTTACAACAACTACAACAACAACTGCTACAGGTAATGCCTTCCAGGCTGGAATTCTGCTCTTGGGGTGACATTTGGAATCACTTGCCCTCCCCTTTTTCCAGGGATAACCATGAGCATACACACGTGGTTTTGTAGGACACAGATCTGTAATGTTTCTTGGAACTGCTCCAGAGGAACTCTGATCCAAAATGTGGCGTTTTCATCCCTTTTGGTCAAACCTGAGCCTTCCACAGCCCCTCAGCACACACAGAGATGGACATTTCATGTAAAAATGCAGGATTTCAGACAGGTATCATTGAAAGTGTGTGCATTACTTAAGCTGCCTTTTAAAAAGTACTACCAAAAATTGTCATTAACAATCATCACCTCAGTTTGGTCTATGCTCTGACTGCCACTTTTCCCCATTTTTTGGGAAGTTTGCAGTCCCCAACCCAGAGGGAATGGGGAGCATTTAGTGGCTTATCTCTGTATTCCCATGGAGGGAATTGTCAATGACTTCAGGAGGTTTTCATCTCTCCTGAGTCAATGCCCAAAGGACTGATTTGCACAAAATCCTTATTCCATGTTACTGGCATAGACAGCAATATGAGCACCAATCTTTTCTTCTGGAATTCATAGTTACTGAATTAGTTCTCCTAAAATTCCTACAAGGACAGTTTGGTTGTAGTAACTCCATTAAGATCTCCAGACAGAGAATTAGTATTTCATTTTTCTGTAAAGGAAATAACACAGTCCAAAAGTGGAAAAATCCTAAACAAACCACCTCCAACCCCCCAAATTTATTTAAATTCTAAATTACAGTTTTACTTGGAGACCTCAGGGGGCAGTTTTAGGAAATGCTCCTTCTTTCCATGTCTTAGCAAAATGTTTTGCTGCAGAAAGTGGTGTGAGTCCTCTACAACCTCCAGAGCTGCTGCTAATGAACCTTTCCCCTAATTAGCACAAGCTTTAGCAAAGGCACCACTCCTCTCCTCTCTTACTCAGTTTTATTTATATTCTTTCCAGCTGTATCCCAGCTAGAAACTGTCAGTGCCTCAAGGAGTGCAGGAATGCTTTTCCTGAGGTTTCTTATTTTTACAGAAAGCAGGAGTTTGGATTCAAGAATTTTTCTTCCTTCCCCCTGACCCTGGGGCTCAGCTGGTAAAACTCCGCTCTGAAGATCCAGAGCAGGATGCTGCAGCCAAACACCTTTTACTCCATCCAGGCTCCACAATTCCCCTCACAAGACATTTCCCAAATTTCCCAGCTGGGAAATCCGTGTTAATGCGTCCTGACATGTGATTTTAACGAGTCTGAGGGAAGGGGCAGGACAGCAGGGAAGAGCAGAACGTGGCCAAGCTGGGCAGGGCAAGACATAAACAGAGCTCTGATGTGAGAACCACAATTTTGTATTCTAACCAGCACTTAAAATTAATAAAATCAAGCTAAGTTTTTTTTTTTTCTTCTGAAAATCCCACAGTCTGATCATAACATCAATGTCTTCTGCTCTTTTTTACTCCATTTACTTCCCTTTTCTAAGGGAAAATTGCAGGAGAAAATAATGGCAAGAGGTATTTCAGTGGGAAATGGGAAAGTCAGGACTGCATATGGGCCTTGTGAATTTAAAGATTTTAATTTAAAGAATTTAAAGATTTAAACCTGATTTAGTTCATTAATGTGATAAATGAATTGCAAAAGTCACTTCATGTCTTTGAATGGGAAATGAATTTTTTATCATCCTTACATATCTTTCATTGAAAAACATAAAAACTGCTCCTCCCTGGATGCCCCAGAGTTTGCATCCCAAGTGACTCCTCTGAGAAGGTGAAACCCTGGCAGTGTTTCCCCACAGGGATCACAGACAGGTGTACCAATGTTTCCTCTGATTTTTATCCAGCTCAGAATCCCAAATCCATTCCCAGGTACAAGTCCAGGGTCAGCTCCCCTGTTCCCACTGTGGAGCAGGAGATAAAGGAGTCATTACACACATGGACAAAACTTTTAAGACCTGAAGATTTGTCCTTTGTCAAGTTTCTAGTCCAGCAGGAAAAGATAAATGGCAATTTCTCAACTGGGTCTTGAGGAATACGTAAAAACAAGGAAGGGATGGGAGGAATGCCAGGGGCTCTGTGGGCTCAGAGAGGCTCCTTAAGGTAGGCAGGATGAATTTTCAGAAATGTCCTGCCTGTCTGACAGGGAGAGGAGAAGTGATGCACTTCTTGAATTATTCAGCTGATTGGCAGGAGTTTAATTTGGAAGAATGTGAAGATTTCATAAAAATTTGAAGTTTTCCTTTCACTTGAAATCAGTCTGGGCTTCAGTCAGGCTCTGGTGTCCTCCTGCCAAGGGTGCACATAAGAAATTCATGTTGACCTTCCCATGGCTCCTGTTTTAAAACTTATTGGTTTCACAATTAATGGATCCACATATCCCCCTTCTGGCTTTTTTTCCCACAGCAGAAAAAAAATACCTGAACTACAAGGTACTTCTGCCTGGGGGATAAAAACCAGGAGCTGAGGGGTTGGTAGAACTCCTGCAAAGCCAAGGGAAGGAAAACTGAAGGTTATATTTTTATGAGGATCCCAGCGGAGCTGTGTTCAGTCTGTGACTGCCTCCCTGGGATGAAACCATTCAGCTGGGGTGGTGTTATCTGAAATGAACAGGAACCTCACTGGCTGGGCAGGATGAAAATCCCCTTCTTCCTATTTCCTAGGAGAAAGGTGTACTTATCCTGCAAGTAATTTGTACCACGGTGCTGTGGTTTGCCAGAGTTTCCTGAGAGAGGAGATCCCTGCGATCCTCTTGTTCTGGGAGATTGTCCAGCTGGGCTCTGCCCCACTTTAAGGGGCTGATGTCTTGAGAAGGCTGCCCTGGAACAGAGGCTGGACAGAGCTAAAGAATGAAGCAGGGACTGATTCAAAGGATCTCCTCCATGGATCCACCTTGGGCAGCAGCAGAGCCCAGCCAGGGCTGCACCCAAGATGAACCCAAATGGTCCCAAAATGCACGAGCGCTCACGGGGTCTCTCCCTGGGATCAGCTCTGCTCCATGTGCACATTGCAGTTCAGTGTCCAATTCCAGCTCAGCCCCTGCACTCCCATCCTGCTTGTTTTTCTCTCTCCAGCCCACGGGGTTTGTGCTCCTGGGCTGAGATTTGGATCATTTGTCCTTGGTGCCCAGCTGGAGCAGGAATTGTTTTGTCTCCCTGCTCTGTGCACAGAGCTCACCATGCCCTGATGTGAAGCTCAGACCCACACACTAAAGCAGCACAGAATGTGAAAAGTATGAAAGTGTAACCACACAGCCACCCTCCCAAGAGGGCCTTCCTCTGGAGAAGGTGGATAGCTCAGGCAGGCACCAGACACTTGCACAGCCAGCTGGTAAATACAGGTCAACGGAGAAAAGCAGGCGAGGCTCTTTGGATGAATTTCCAATGGCAGTTTAAAAACAAGCACATTGAAAAGATGCACGAACAGAACAGCTCAAACAGAGCAGGGCCCAGGGGTTATAAAGAGCCTGGAGTGGGTGGGGTGTCACAGTCTGAGGGCCAATGGGTAAAGGGATCAGGGGTGGGATGAAGGCAGGGTCTGGGGGAAACATCCAACGGGGATACAGGGGAGGAGTGTCTACAAAGGTAAGCCAATGGGGAAACCAGAAGCAGTGAACTTTCCAGAACTGGGGAGGAGAACAGGGATGATGTCACTGAGGTCATTAACATACAGAACCAGAAGAAACTAGAGCACTGTGGGGAAGAGTCTCGGTGTCACTCAAACAGGATGTCCTCCCACGGCATTCCATTTTCCCCCTAACTCACCTGGGATGCTGCATAAAAGCTAAAACCTGAGGAATCACTGCCAGGGGTTTCAGCCTTTCTCTCCCACTCAGGGACCAGCAGCTCTCAAATACGCTGTGCCACAGAAGGAAATATCTTGTTCAGACAGCATTTGAAGCAGGGAATTATCTAAACCAAATCTTATCTGAAGAAAACAGTCTATGCCCAGTGGAGGCATCATCTGGCTGCATCCCCCCCAAAGCAGGAGCTCTCTTTTCCTCCCAGAGGATTATAAAATTCATGTTTCTGGCCTCTCCTAGCAACAAGGTTCCGTCACACTCAGGTTCAATTTCTCGGTGTTGAACTCACCAGTTCCTGAGGTGAGAGAGGTGGGGTGAGAGTCCCTCCAGAGCTCTTCAGAGCTGAGTTTCACTGAGAAGGGGCTGGTTTGTTTTTTTTTGTTTGTTTGTTTGTTTTGTTTTTTTGTGTTTTTTTTTGGTTTTTTGTTAAGCACAACGGCCTCTGTGCTCCTCAGTCCTTTATTTTGGATTGCTATTTTGCTTTAAAACATCCAAAGTGTAGAACTGGCCTGGCTGGGCATAACTACAGGGAGAATTTCATATGAAAAGCAAATGAATAAAGTTTAGAATTGTTTTTTCAGCAAATATTTCGCTGCAAATGAACAGTGTTAGAGAGTGTCCAGGCATGAAAGAAGTGTGAACATCGCTGCACTTGTCCATGTCTGAGTCTCCAGTACAAATGGGAATATTCATTCTTTCTCATTGCTGGGCACATTTTAGCAGTTTGTAGATGTTGTGCCACAGAGATTTCTTTTACTCTAAAATTGTTGTGAAAACATAAAACCTTCCAAAAATAATAGTTAAATGAAGTGTAGCTGAGGTGATGAGAGGGAGCCAAAGCCTCCCATGGCCCAGAGGCTGAGCTGGTCCTTGGTTTGCAACTCAGGAATGTCCAGGTGCTCGCTGCCATGGAAATGCGTGTGCCTCGTGCTCAGATGAATCCCAGGGGAGTCAGAAGAGCTTTGGGCAGATCTGGGAGACACTGCAGGGCTCTTTAGTAAAGGAACAAGATGCTGGAACTGCTCACCTCACTTTGAGCTCCAAACACTGAGGAGATGTTGCAGGATAAAAATACTAAATGAGACAAGCAGCAAAGCAGGGAGATCAGCAGAGAAGTTTGGAGGGAATAATTGCCAGGACTTGGAAGTAGGAATTGTCTCTGTCTCTCAACAGCAAATCTGTGACAAAGATGTGATCCTTTACTGAATTATTGAAGCTGTGATTAGGAATCTGCTGGATTTTACAGGGTCCTTTCTTCTTAATGACAACTTGCACAAAAATTTGCTTCAGAGCTACAGTGGGAGGGGGATAAAGCAGATTAAGGGATGGGCTCGACTCAGCTCCAGGCTTGCCTTGTGTTTGAGTGGGTAAGAACCCTAATTTACCTCAGATATCCAGGTGAGATTGTTACTTTCTCAAGCACACACCTGTCTCTGCAAACAGTCTCCAAGGAGTGACTGTCAGCATCAATCATCTGTCACGCCTGGAGAGCTGTCAGAGCAGCAGAAACAGCAATATTTCCCTGGGCTCTGGGGCAAATCACACCTTTCTGTAAGAGGATCTTCCTTTTCTTTAAAGTGATTTACTCTTGTGACGTTTCCAGCCTGGGCAAAGAAATCCTCCTTCACCTTGGCCTTGTCCTTGTTGTGGTTTGAAGTGTGGGATGTGTTTGTCTGTGACATCTCTGTCCCTGCACTGCCTTTGCCTCTTTTTAGACAGCTTTTTAGGCATGCACACACTTCCAGATTATGTGCAGTGCTTTTCATTCCCACAGCCTCTTAAATATGTCTAGAAACCAAATTGCAGCTGTATTTTGTACGGATGTATTTTGCCAATGTTTTTTAACAGGGATAGAAGGAGCTATCCCTGACCACAGGGGGTTTTTTTCCCACCAAACAAACATTACTATTTTATAGAGTTTATTAATGAGTTCACACCCTCTGGAATCTATTAGCATTATTATTATGGAGAAATTGTTCTTAACAATTATTACATGTTTGACATAGTTTTAGGTGTTTTTAAAGATTTTACTGGAAAACAGCAAGTGACTTGCAACAAATAAACTCCAGCAGTTAAAACACAAGCAAGGATATTCTGATGGTGTCCTCCTGCAACTGGTTGCTCTCAGGAATAATATGAGTTGGGACCTCACTGTTAATGAACAACTTGCTTTCCATTCCTGCAGCCCAGGGTTCTGTCAGTCCTCTGGCTCAGCGGATGGAAGAAACCCCAGCTCTGGAGATCAACTGCAGTGTTTTTTATTTATATTTTCAGAGACTGCATCATGCTCTGCTGCTTGAACAGTGGCACAAGCTTTGTTGCTGGTTTTGCTATCTTTTCAGTTCTTGGATTTATGGCTTATGAACAAGGCGTGCCCATTGCAGAAGTTGCAGAATCAGGTGAGTTCCAAAAGCAGATTTCTGAGTTAACAAGAAATGCCCAGAGGGTGAGGCCAGAGTTCACAGTCTGTGCCATGGCCTGTGGATGAGATGACTCAATGGAATAACTGCTGCAGGAAGAATTCTGAACTATTTTTGTGGCCATACATTTGTGTGTGAAAAAGATGAATGTTGCTGTGCATAAAACCAAATTCATGAATTCAAGGGGTCCCTGCTACACAAACTTACTCCAGCTGAGCATCCAGAATGTTGTTTAGCAGAGTTGTGAGTGTTAATCCTCACCTGCATTCCACCTTCTTTCAATGAGACAGACTGAAATCCACAAATATTTTTTCCTTCTGGAAAAAAAAAAAATTAAAAGGATATTAAAGAAGAAAAGCTGCAGCTGTTAAAGGGCACACAGAAGGGCACACAGGCACAGATTTATGAAAAATTAACCATCCACAACCACCATTGGAGCTGGGCAGCCAAAGGAAATTACTCCACACCTTTGTGGCTGTAACATCCTCAAGCAGAAGAAAAATAACAGGAGGCTGCACCCCCCAAAAAAAACCCCAATGTAATGCTGAGCTGTTGAGGAGGAAAAATGATTCTCATGGAGTTAATCCCAGGAAAACTGCAAAACAAGCAGGGTTTCACTGATGCTCTCATGGAAAATATTTATCTTTTCCTAAATTCCATGCAACTGGCTTGCACTTCATTATAGGAGCTTATAAATGCTGCTTTAAATGAAGAAGCAGCAGAGTGTAACTGGTCTGCACTGAAGTTACTGCAGCAGGAGCAGATCGCTCCTTTAGTGTCTGGGAGAGGGCCTTTGTGCCCCTGCTTTGAAAGCTGGCTGCCTTCATAAAAAGCAGCTGATAAATTAAAAAAAAAAAAATTAAAAAAAAACAAAACATGAAAAACAGAAAAACATGAGCAAGGTGAGAAGGTATCTTAGCAGCTCTGAGAAGTAATCAGTGTTGTTACAAAAATGTTCTATTTTGAAGATTTCTCTAAATATGTAGCCCATGTCACACAGCAGCAGCACCACAAAACACAAAGCAGGATGGGAAGCAACCTTTGCCTTGAACCAGGTTAGGAGAAAAATAAAGACTCCAGGATATATTCCTAGGTTATATATAAAAACTCCAGGATGTGTTCCTAAGTTATATAAGGCAATCACAGGAGCACACGCTATGATTTATTCAGGGATGTCTGTAGAGCTGCACATCCACACAAAAAAGGGGAACAGAAAGCACTGGGATGTCTGAAGAGAAGCTGAACATCCTTTGGCCAGGATGCAGGCAGGGCTGTGCCATTTCTGATAAGCCTCATCACCAGTTGTTTAGACTATGAGAGATGTAGAGTTTGTCAAGGAGTTCAGTCTTGGTTTTAGTTCTTCTTGTCTGCCATGGCAGAAGAATAGGTTGTGGTGGGCTGACCCTGAGCAGCAGCTGGGCACCCTCGCTGCTGTTCACTCTCTCAGCTTCCACAGGGGATGGGCAAGGGAGCAGGAAGAGGAAAAGTGAGAAAATGGCTGCGTTCAGATAGAACAGTCTGAAGAGTGATGCTGAGAGCCCTGCTCCGCCAGAGCCACACTTTTGGTGTCAGCAATGCTGTGCTCCCACAGCTCAGGCTGCTCTGGAGGAGATGAACTCTATCTCAAACTCCCACACAAGTATAAACTTTTCATTTCTTTACTCCTTTTCAGGACCAGGGCTTGCATTCATTGCTTACCCTAAAGCTGTCACCATGATGCCTCTGTCTCCTCTGTGGGCAGCTCTGTTCTTCATGATGCTCATCTTCCTGGGCTTGGACAGTCAGGTATGAAACAAACCCCATTGCAATGAGTTTTTAGCCTCCCCAACAGGTGGAAATCACACCTAAACAGCATCAGCTTGATGAAATACTGAACCTTAACTTGATTCTTTGCTATTTTACATCTTAGTTGTGATGCTGGCTGTTCCTTCATGATTCACTGCAAAGGCTGGTTCAGCCTGACTCCAGCTTTCATTATTAACATGGAAATCAGTCTGAACTTCAACAGGGCTGATTAAAATTCACGCTTCAGTAAAATACCAGCCCGTCCTTATAGCACTTGGCAATGAATTTTGAAGCTGCATATCAGATAGGGATAATGTAATTTTCTATGGTGTATTTTTACTGCAAGATACCATAGCAAGGAATGTGTAGTCATATCCTGCAGCAAAGGGGCAGCACAGAAGTCGTTGTCCCTGTGTGACTGTAAAAATTACAAAAGCTGCTCGAAGAGAAGTGTGAAGTGCCTGGGATTTTTAGCAATCAGCTCAGTCTTTGGCATGACTGGGTACAGAAAGCTTATGATTCTAGAGCTCAGCAGTGCTCATTCTGCATGACATTTTCAATCCTTAAATTTAATGTTTTAATAACTGCTCTCCTTAATGATCTAACAGGTTCTTAAAAGTTTTTGTTGTTTTTTGGGGTTTTTTTAAGTGAGCAGTTCCTGGATTCTGCTCTTGACTATTCCAGTGTCTATTCTGCTCAGGCCTTTCGCTTTTCTTGACGTTTAAAGACACTGAACATGTTCCTGCCCTCCTTTGTTAGAGGTACCTGGCTTGGGCACTCCACAGCTCTGGGGAACTTCTCTCTTCTGGTAAATGGAGAGAACTTCCCCCAAACCCTGCTGCTCCTTTAGCAAGTTGGAGGATGCATGGCAAAATTGGCAAAAGTGCCTGGAGTGACATGACCCCATGAAGGGTTTGTACATTATTTAATTCTCATTCAAGCCACATTTGCAAGGTTTAATTTTCATTTAGTCCACCTGCTACAGGGCAAATGAAGTCTGGGATAATATTAGAGATAAGATGAGACACTCGAGCATGTCCAGAGGGGACAACGAGGCTGGAGAGGGGCTGGGAGCACAAGCCCTGTGAGGAACCACTGAGGGAGCTGGGGGTGTTTACCCTGGAGAAAAGGAGACTCAGAGGTGCCCTTATCACTCCATAGCTCCTGAAAGGTGCCTGTGCTCAGCTGGGGCTGGGCTCTTTCTCCAGGCAGCGCTGACAGAACCAGAGGACACAGTCTCAAGCTGCACCAAGGGAAATACATGTTGGATATTAGGAAAAAGTTTTTTACAGAAAGAGTGATAAAGTTCTGGAATGGCTGCCCGGGGAGGTGGTGGAGTCACCATCCCTGGGTGTGTTTAACAAAGCCTGGATGTGGCACTGGGTGCCAGGGTTTAGTTGAGGTGTCAGGGAGCAGGTTGGACTCAGTGATTTTTAACGTCTCTTCCAACCTTGTGATTCTGTGCTTAGAGAATCCAACTGTTTGAATTTGGTCGAAATCCGTAACTTTGGACTTTTTCACTGTTCCTGAGGTGTTCCTCTCAGTTTGAGTTTCTGCTTATGGAGCATCCCCAGGGATCACCCACCCTCAGTGATGAAAACCAGGAGGATATTTAAAGTGTTAGGTGGCAAATCCCAATGCCAGCAACTGAGGAGAAAGATTTGACTGGATCTTTGCTGTCGTTTGTTGCAGTTTGTGTGTGTGGAAAGCATTGTGACAGCCGTGGTGGACATGTACCCCAAGGTGTTCCGCAGGGGCTACAGGAGGGAGCTGCTCATCCTCGGCCTCTCTGTCGTGTCCTACTTCCTCGGCCTCATCATGTTAACTGAGGTGAGAGCTGCCCTGCTCTGTGGGATTCACACTCTGAACCTGAGAGAAGCAGAGAAAAGAATGATCAAAACAATTCTTATCTCATTTGTTGTGCCTGTGCTGTGCCAAAGTAGAATGCAATATGGAGGTTGTTCACCCAAAGTGATGTGGTTTGTTTCCTTGGCTATCAAGGCCAAGCATGTGTCCAGACTGTCAGTCAGCTAATCCCAGAATCATCTGGGAATATCTACAGCTTGATGTGATAAAAAAACAGAGGTAAAAGCAGGGAGGTGAAAGAGCATTTTTGGAAAAAAAAAAAATCAAATTTACTTCTCTCCACTCCAGATTTACCATCCTTAAAGAAGTGCAGAGTTAAAAAAAAAAAAAAAAAACCAAAAACCCAAGAAATTAATATTCTTTGTTCAAGAAGGAACCAGCTTGAGTAAGAAGCTTGCTAGGGAGCCAACAGCTTGACAGTGTAATTAAAAGAGATATGCTATGAAATATTCCCACTGGTGCTAACCCAATTTTTTTTCCCCTTTCCTAATTTCTCCTCCAGGGTGGGATGTATGTCTTCCAGCTCTTTGACTCCTATGCAGCCAGTGGGATGTGCCTGCTCTTTGTGGCCATATTTGAGTGTGTCTGCATAGGCTGGGTGTATGGTGAGTGATGAAAATTGCTCTGTTTTTCTTATCAAAGCTTTCTATTTGCATAAAAGCAAAGTGAGAAACTTGTACCCTTATGGAATGGGACCTTCCACATTGTCATGCCCCCAAAAAAAGTCATAAATGCCTTTTTCTCCACAAAGATGCACACTATGGATAATTTCACTTTGTAAAGCACCACAGAACTGCAGATCACACGTGCCCAGCTATCCTTGGGTTCACGCATGAGCTTGTAGCATCTAAATATAACATCTAAATATATTTATATATAAAATAGATACTCTTTGACTGGAGTTGTTTACAGACTGATCCCACAACAAAGAGAATAAACCAACTAATCAGAATATATTAGGTTTATACTTCCTTTGAAGGAAAAAAAACTCAAGGTGTGGAGGAAAAAGGAGAGTAGGATGAAATGAAATGTTCATATTTTTGTGACAGCTTGTGCTACACTAATTAATATCCATCTCTGATAAGAGATACAATGATCTGTACGAAATAAAAGTTTTATAGCACCAAAAGTTTCATAGCAGCAGGAATTGTAGATCAACCCCACCACGAGCACAGGGCAGATGGCAGGGAGGAGTTTTCCAGGGAAAGAGGAGCAGCTTCAGCCTTCCCCTGTTTGTCTTTCACTGTTTCAAATCCTGATCTGGACAACCCCTTCCATGTGCACTCTACATCTGCTTTTCCTTTGGTTTTGGGCAGGCAGCAATCGCTTTTATGAGAACATTGAAGACATGATTGGGTACAAACCTGTGTCGCTGATTAAGTGGTGCTGGATGGTCCTAACTCCAGGTATTTGTGCAGTAAGTACAGAATGTCCAAAACACTTGTTTTAGATATAAAGAGGGGCTCCTGTACATGTTTTTTTCTATTTTTGCTGCTACTAATAGTTGAGAGAAATGCCTATTGATTTGTAGCATGTATTTCAAATAAAAAACACTGTAGGATCTGTAACATTGTTAAATATTCTGTGAGAAGTCTTAGTATGTACAATCATAGGAACAAAAATAATGCCAGGGTCCTAAATGAACATTTGCCAGAACAAGAGAGATGTTTTTCCCTGTGGTTGGTGCACCTTGTGTGCCAATACACAGCCTGAGCTCCTCCAGACTTGTGCTGGGTCCTTTGCTGCTTGCTCCTCCCTTCTCCTCTCTCTTTGGGGGGAGTAGATATTTTCCAAAGGAGACAAGACATTTTTTACTTTTAAAAATAGTAGGAGAGGCCAAAAACTCATCCCACTGGCATGAAGGAGGGGAAGGAAGCTGGTGCCAGCTCTGCAGAGCTGTGGCAGCATCACAGGGACAAAGTTCCAAAAGCAGCATGATCTGATTGCCCTTAAAATTGAGGATGAGGTGCCAAAACCCCTTCCAGCTGTGTAACGCTCCAGTGATGGCAACTGCAAACCACAGCAGCTGGGGTACCTCGAGATCCAGGCTTCCATTTGCAAACTTAGGAAAATTTCTGACCCATTTGCACCAAATCTGAAATGACCTCTATACCATTGGCTCTTTTGCACTCGTTTCACCACTTTGCAGAAAATTACATGGTAGCTTTTCTCTATTTCATACATTGAAATGGTCCAAGCTGCTTGATTAGAAATTTAGACAGATTTTTTGGGGGTTTTGGCAGGATGAAAGCATTGGAACTGCAGATAAACACAGTGGATTCAGGCAACTTCAAAAATTTTGGCTTTCATTTTTCATCCTGACAGGTTGGAGAGAACCCAGCTCATGTTATTTAATCACAGCTGGTTCACTGTAGCAAAACTTAATCTTTCCTGCCCAGGTGCTGTTTGCCATCAAAGTGCAGGGTTTATTGTCATCAAGAGGTAAATAGGATTAAACTTGAAAGGTTGCTCGTTTCTGCAGGAGCCTCTGAGATGTGTTATTTAAGCTGTACAGAAAAGATGTTGCTGGTGGGTTTCTTGCTCTGAGGGAAGAGCTTCCCTCTGCTCTCCCTCCTCAGGGAGCCTGGCCTGGCCTAAACACTCAGCCAAATCCTTGTTACACACACAGGGATTGCCCAGATACCTCTGACAATACCTCTGCTTGTTTCAGGGAATCTTCATCTTTTTCCTGGTGAAATACAAGCCCCTGAAGTACAACAATGTGTACATCTACCCTGACTGGGGCTACGGCATCGGGTGGATGATGGCACTCTCCTCCATGGTCTGCATCCCGCTGTGGATCTGCATCAAGCTCTGGAAGACAGAAGGCACCTTCATGGAGGTGAGAGAGAGCTGCAGTGCAGTGATGCTGGAAAAAGAGCTGGGAAGGGGGTGGGACTCCTCACCTGCATCCTTTCATCACAACAGCAGTGCCACATCCCTGTACCCTGCCTTAGGGCTCTCAGCTGCTGCTGGAAAGAGAATTCTGAACTTTCCCTGCTTTGTCCTGAATTCCTGTTGGGTTTTTTGCTGCCAGTGGTAAATTAACCAATTTAAGGTGCTCTGTCCCAGCACAATTTGTAGCTTAAAATGTCTGTAACATCACCCAAATCCCTCAAGGTTTGTACCAGCCATTACCTTTTTCCATAGTTTTCTTTGTGCTGCCAGGATTTTCTCCAGGAGCTGGGTTGCCCACATTCCCATTTTCTGGACAGTTTTCCTAATTTCAGTTCTCTAAATGAGAAACTCAGGCAAATAAAGAGATTCAGTGGAATTTTCTGACATTTGGTTTCAGGTTAGCTCAGGTCTAGGCTGAGGTTATATTATCAAATTTAAGCTTGGAAGATTGCTTGTTTCTGTGGGAGCTCCAAAGAAAGGCAGTGAAGGAAGCAACAGTGGAAGGAACAAAAATACAAACCTTTTCAGCCATTTGGAATTCCAACATTGCAGAAAAGCCTCATTTTGTCCATATTGCAAAGACTCTGTTCAGCTGATTAAACACAGCCTGGAGACTGCCTAGGAAATCTTTACTGGTATATAAACTAAAAGTGCATTGTCCGTTGTCTCAGAGAGTCAAAAAAGGAAGTCTGCACAAATCTAAACATTAAATATTTCCTCAGTGCACCAGCCCCACCTGTGCTGCAGGTGAGCGGACTTTGCTGGAGCTGCAGCACTGCAGACAGGTCGTTATCTTTTCCCTGCCAGGATGACAAGAGATTCTTTGAATCACAGCTGGGAGCTTCTTGAGGAGCCAACTTCCTGCTGTGAGCAGCAGCCTTGCTGTGGATGTCATTGCTAGAAAAGAGAAAGTAGATTTTGCTTTATCGCAGCTAAACACACCTCGGCTGTCTCTGGTTTATTTGCTTTTTCCAGTGGACATCACTGATGATAAAATGAGAAACAAAATGCACCTGTAGAACAGACAGAGTGCTGAGAGTCTTCATGAAAAGGGATGATTAAATCAGCATGAAAATTCACTTGGGTTTGAGTTTTGCCTTCTGTGGTCTAGCAGGATTTACCCAGAATTGTGCAGCCTGCAGGTCTGAGGATGTGTCCACAACAGGGAAATAAATGCAGACATGCAGGAGTAAAGCCTTTTATAATGAATCTGTTAAAGAAAGGTGTGGCTGTGGCCAAGAAAAACGTAATGATTTCCAATTTCTCCAATTTTCTAGAAATTCAGGAAGCTGATTACACCTAGCTCAGACCTGAAAATGCGGGGCAAGCTCGGAGGAGGAGCCTACATTGCAGCAATAAATGACTGCGATGCCAAACTGAAAGGAGATGGCACCATTTCCACCATCACAGAAAAGGAGACACATTTCTGAAAGAACTTTTTTTTCTTGTTTTATTTTTTTTTTGTATAAAGAAATAAATAAATTCACTTAATTATAGAGGCTGGCTTGTTTTGCACAGAATTTTATTAACCAGTTAATTTTAAAGTGAAAATTGTATACTTGTTTAAAAAGTGATTTTTTTAAATTACTCTATCTGTAATGATTCTGTAAAAGAAAAAGAAATAGTATTATATGGTCTGTTAGTGATGACTTCTTGTAATATGGTGATTATGGTCAATGTTTTTTTTTTTTTTTTTTTTTTAGACTTTAGAGGGACCTGTATAATGTGCTGTAAAACTTTTCTACTTTGATTTGTGGCAGGTGTAATGTTGTATAGACCTTCTAACATGTAAGCATTTCAGCTGTCCATGTGTGTATATAAAGGGGACCAGCCCGTCCTGTGGTTTGCTTGGGAAGAAATCTCCTTTCAGGGCGAGTTTGGTGATGCTGACAGCGCCTCAGCTGCTCCCACCTCCTTCTCTCCACCCTCCACTGGCTTCAGCAGGGCTGGAAATGTGGAATGGGCCCATCCTGAGCCACAGTTTTCCTGGAGATTGGATAGAGGCTGGTTCTGAAGGGCTCTGAATTTTGCTGCTGTGAGTTCCTGGTCTGTGTCAGGATGTACTCCCAAACTTTTCCATTTTCCTCCGTGGGTGGCTGCTCCTGAATTTTGTCTGGCACTTCCCACTCCCTGGAGTGACCTGAGTTTGTGTGTGCTCCTCCAACAGGAGATGAAGGTTATTTCACTGAGCTGGAGATATCCTGAGGGGAAAAGAGCAGGTTTAGGGCCAGGTTTAGGGCTCTCTGTCTGTACAACTCATTCCCCTCCAAAGGAATCCAGGATCCTACAGTGCCAATGTGGATCCCTACACAGCTCCTCTGCTGGCACAGGGTGGGGTTTGGGGTGTCGTGTGCAGGGCCAGGAGTTGGCCTGGATGATCCTTGCAATTCAGGGGGTTCTGATTCCTCTTCAGGGCCCTTCCCAGGTCCCCTCAGATTCCTCTGCCCTGGATGGGATGGAGTCTGAAGTCAGAGCAGGGATTTCTTTAGCAGAAGGTTGGGGTGATGTCCTTTATCCGTGCAGGAGCCCCAGGAGGTCATTTCTGTGTGGTGCAGGGAGGGGATTCCCACAGGGCTCTTGTGACCCCTCGGTGGCACAGAGGGAGCAGTGCTGGCTTTGTCAGTCAGGACTTGCTCTGGACTGGTTAGGGTTAAAATCCTGCGTTTAAAGCTGATTTTGTACGTGCATCCAGCTGCTGGATGGTTGTTCTAGGAGGTGTGCAGATGCCCCAGTATGGAAACGCCTAAACTCTGTCTTAGGATGTGGTTTTTTTACCTGATCATACTCCAAGCACTGTTATTTGTTCTGGACATTTTTTTTTCTTGGTCTGTTTTTGTTATTTGATGGTTGTGTGAGAAACGTGTGGAGGAACAGCATCCTGCACTGCACAGCATTTGGGGGCAGAGACAAGAGACAGCCCAGAAGAAATGTCATAAAACCTGCTGCCTTCTCTGCAACTCCAACCCCTTGGAGATCATAAACAGCACCTGGAGTTGTAAGCAACAGAAATGGCTCCTGACCTTCTCCCAAGGAAATATTTTCCTAGAAATCACTAAATATATCTTAATATTGGCTAGAACTGTACCTGCAGTCAGCACTTCTCTGAGCTCTTGCTGTTACTTCTTAAAAAAAGCATTTTTATGGAACTGTTTTGTCTCAAGTCACTTCATTAAATCTAATAGAGTCATTTAATTTTTACTTTATCTTATTTGTAGGGGTTTATTTTGTGTGTGGCAAGGTGGAAGCCTAGCAGAGGACTTCAGATCCTGTAAGTCCCGTTTTCATGTCTCCATTGTGAGGTGCTTGGGGCAGAACATTTGGAAGAAACCTGGATTTAGGAAGGCACAGAACCATCATTTTGTGCCTCCCTCAGATGGAGCCAAAACTCAGTCCCATGGGAAAACTGGGAGAGAAATGTTTCCAGAATTGAAACCACACATTGATTTATATAAAGTGAAGAAACTGAATTGACATCAACTCTCCAAAATCTAGGAATTCTCAGTTTTGGAAGTCCCAACAAGCCAGGAATATTTGTGCCCCAGTTTCCCTTCCTGGGCTTTCTCCCCAACCACCCAGGCTGCAGAACCAAGGCCCCAGAGCCACACGTGGGCCTTGGGGTGGGTTATGGTCCCTCCCAGGGAGAATGTGAAGATATTTTCTGATCAGTGAAGGGAGATGCACCTTTAGGTTATGCTGGGCCTGGATTTCAGGACTCCTGAGAACCTTTAGGCTGCACTTGGCCTTGGTTTCAGGACTCTTGAGAATCTTTAGTTTGTCCTGGGTCTGGATTTCAGACTCCTGAGAACCTTTAGGTTGTGCTTGGCCTGGATTTTGGGACTCCTGAGAACCTTTAGGCTGTGCTGGGCCTGGATTTCAGAGTCATTCCCTTAGCAGTCAGGATTCTGAGGAAGTGCCAAGAGGTGCAGCCCCTGCTCCTGGGGCCATCCATGGGCACAAAGTGACCCCGCACGGATTGAGGTGTTGCCTTGGTGGTTTTGGCACCCCAGACAGGACAGGAAACTGATGATTTGGGGGGGCCCCCAGAGCAGAGGCCAGGCAAGGTGAAGGGAATAAAGTGGGGATTCATGAAAGCCTTCAGCAGGCACAGCTCGGGCAGCCACAGCCTCCAGAGGCTGCACCCAAGGTGGGCCATGGGCACGAGTTTCTCACACAATTATCAGTTTGGCCATTCACATATCAGGGGTTAATGCTCCAATTCCAGCTGCAGGTAATGAAGTCATTTACCCCCAGTTTGCTCTCCCACTTTAGGTTATCCTTTTTGGGGGCTGAGGCAGTGAGGTGTCCTTGGGTTCCAGGCCTAGAGAGGAATTGCTGTGTCTGCCCAAAATGTGAAGACAGTACCCAGCACTCTGTATGGAGTTTACATTATGCACTAATGCAGCACAGGAATTGAAAAATACAAAAGCTAAAATCCTAAAGCATCACTGGGATCGGGATAAACGCTGCTGTAGGACAAAAAGGGTTCCCAGTGCTTTGTGTGAGTCCTTTGGTCCTGCTGTGCCCAGGAGCTGCTCCCCTGTGCTGCTATGGACATTTCATGTGCTCTAAAGCATCCCCGGTGTTACTGCTGTGCTCTGCTCTGTGTGCTCCTAATCGCTGATTTGTTTAACACTTTACTGATTAAAAAAAAAAAAAATTTTTTTTTTCTTTTTGTGGGGAGGGGTGTGGGAGGGTAAATTTCCTAATTGTGGTTGGGGGATTTTTGTGAAATTATATGAGGGGGAAATGTAAAAAAACCCAGCTCTGTGCTGATCATTTTTTATGCAGTAGGAACAAACTGCCCTTTTCTGAAATATTTGCAGAATTATTAAAAATAATACAATAAAAATGAACAACCACTAAGGTTTATGTAACATTTTACATAAAGAAAGATTGTGTCTGGTTTTGAAGGGCACAAGATTTCATCTACTGACTTTGTTCTCAAAAATTAAAGGAAATGGGCAAACCCCATTCTGTGTATTTTAGTTTATATCGGTGTACTTGACATGACACTCCCCTAATGAATTAAATAATCCCAGCTACCCTGGCAGAGCAAACAAATGTCCCTTGATGGGAAGTGTGGAACTGAGAAACAAGAGGAGGTTCAGCAACTTGTTTGAGGTCATGCAGCAAATCTGTGGCTGAGAGAAACTGAAATTCCCTGGGGTCTATATCCATATTTATGTATATCTATCTTTTATATATATGTATTTAGGTATAAATAGATATATATGTTTAGATATAAATAGATATATATATATTTATATAGCTATAGATAAATATCTAAATATATAAAATATAGATATAGACCCCAGGGAACTTCAGTTTCTTTCAGCCATATATATTATATTATATTATATTATATTATATTATATTATATTATATTATATTATATTCATTATATTCATTATATTAATAAATCTAGCTATATAAATATATCTATAGCTATTTATATCTAAATATCTATATAAAATATAGATATAAATACATATAGATATAAATATAAAGCAAAAGTAATTATAAAGATTATACATATAAATGATAAAATAAAATATAAATTAAAATAGAAAAAATATTTTTAAATATGTTTAAAATTGTAAAAATTTGCAATGTAAATTATAAAGTATAAATTTAAATATTAGAAATATAAATATATAAATATAAATATAATTGCTGAGCAGCCACCACTTCCCTGCTGCTGGCCCTTCCCTCGCACTCCTGGCTGGTTTGCTGTGCCCCTTTGTGTCACTGGCACAGTCAGAGCCATGCAGGGAGTGGCTTCAGGAGCTGCTGGGGATGAAATCCCTGCCTCAGCCGAGCCTCCAGTGCCTCCAGTGCCCTGCCCAGCCAGAGGCTGCTGCTGGAGGGAGATGCCACAGGGAGGCAAATTGCATCTTCCAGCTGCTGAAATGAAGTGAAATGAAATGAAATAACCTCGCAGGCACAGCCTCACTCCCAGCCAGGGCTCTCATTTGATGCTTTTGTGCTCTGCTGGCCGCCTGGAGTGTTCAGCCCTGGGGCCTCCAGCATCAAAAGGATGTGGAACTGTTGGAATAAGTCAAAAGGAGGCCACAAATGTGATGAGAGGGCTAGATCTCTCTGCTCTGGAGCCAGGCTGGGGGTGCTCACCTGGAGAGGAGAAGGCTCCAGGGAGAGCTCAGAGCCCCTGGCAGGGCCTGAAGGGGCTCCAGGAGAGCTGGAGAGGGACTGGGGACAAGGGATGGAGGGACAGGACAAAGGAAATGGCTTCACTCTGGCAGAGAGCAGGGATAGATGGGATCTTGGGCTGAGATTGTTCCCTGGCACAGGGTGCCCAGAGCAGCTGTGGCTGCCCCTGGATCCCTGGCAGTGCCCAAGGCCAGGTTGGACACTGGGACTTGGAGCCCCTGGGACAGTGGAAGGTGTCCCTGCCCATGGCAGGGGTGGAGCT